GAGTTTATTGTTCTGTGCGCTGGGTTTTCCTGGGGCTTGTGGTGGCAAAAGGGGCTGGGTGGGGAAGTTAATTTCTGAATTTAGCTGTGTTGCCCAAGTGTTTTAGTTTTGCTTTGGATGCTTCTCTAATCTCTGGCTGTGCTTTCCCTTTCAGATGAATGAGATGGGGAAAATACCACCACAATGCCCTTCTCCTGAGTTTAGTTTAGCTTTGTTTATTTATTTTTTAAAATGAAGTTACATCAAGTTTTTATTTTGAAAGTCATTATTATAAGTGACTAGAAATCTCTGCCATGTTGGGCAGTCAAAGTCTCCTAGAGCTGGCATCGGTTGTTCTGGAGCAATGATGCTGAAGTGTAAGAGACTTTCTGTACTTATAACAGTTACTGGGTTTAATATTCCCCTTGCTCCTTGTTAGTCTTTACTCCTTTTGGCTTGATACAATGGAATAAAGTCATCTGTGTGGAACTTAGGCATGCCGGAAAGTTTTCATTAGGCTTCACTGTTGTTTGCTTGAAACTCTGGAGGCTTAGAAAAAAATCATCTTTTTGGGGCAGTGCCCAAAAAAGGCTTATGATATATTGCCATTTTGGTGCACTTCTTGGGGCCCTGCCTAGATAAAATGGCTTAAATAGATTTACTGAACTCCCCAGATGTCCAACGCAGAGAACATGCTCCAGCTGTTGAAGTGTCTAGCAGCAAGGTGGACTTCACCTAGCTATGGAGACCTCAGCTCGCCAGCCGTACAGCCTGGGGATGCTAGTTTACTAAACTCACTCGTCTCATATGAATAAATTCATGTGAATTTATTCACGTGCTTGATAAGATGTTGTCTTATCTCAAAGCAATGGCGCAGTCATTTGGAGGGTTGCAGTCTGTGATTATGCCGAGGTCGGAGATCGCTAGCATTATCTGCCGTGTTCCTGAGCTAATTTTTCACGTTCATGCCGGAGAGGAGAAATGAAGAGGGAGGGGCTGTGATGTGCTCAGGGAACTCCATAGTTGCCAACAGCCCCGGAGGGGGGTTACAAAAGGGCTTTGGAAAAGCATCCCTGCAGAAGTGGGCGCTCACCCCGTCTGGCAGCCACCTGCCTGGGGATCTGCCACCAGTTCCCGCAGGAGATGTGTGGGTGTAGAGGTCTTGTGGCTAGGTTTCTTCAAAAATGGTGTCACAAGTGCACGGAGGGGGTGAGAAGGGAAGCAGCGTCCGCAAAGCCCTCTGGAAGGTGGAGTCAGAGAATCCTCCACCCTCCTCCTCCGTAACCCTCTGGCTTGTTCTGACGATGCTTAGAAATTCCTTTTGCCATTCAGCTAAAATCCAGGAAAGGCCTGGGCTGGCTGGCTTTCTCAATCAGATGTCTTCAGCCAGGAGAGCAACAACCATGAGAAATGCCTAATAAGTTAATGTAAGAGTGACATTTCAGAGAGGCTTCCCCTGGTAGATCAGTTGGTTCTGCAGGATTTCGCTAGTTTTTGCTAAATCTGGGGGATTTAGCAATTTTTTGGATGGGGCTAACTCAGCTCCTGAGACCTTTGAACTCTCCTCCTCCCTGGTGTTCCCTTTGACACTAAAAACCATTGCCAAATTTGTGTAGTTCTGGGCTGCGGCTGTCACAGGAACGCAGCACGCAACCAGCCAAGCATCTACAACTCTTACATTCCCCCTTGCCGCATGATTTTGGATTTGAGAGAGATGTATTTTTAAAGCCAGAAGAGCAATGAAGGGGAAGCTGCTGCTAATACATGGCAGCAATGCAAACCGCTGGTGTTGTGTCGGGTCTGGCGAGTCGAGCAAAGTGTGGCAGCTCTGTCACGGTGCTCCTCGGAGTTTGCTGTGTGGCATGCAGTTGGTGTTGGGTGGACACAGACCTTGGGTCCAGGCAAGAGAGGATCCACCGAAAGGAGGGTGATCAGGATGAAATAGCTAGCAGGTGTGGTTTTATTGAACAAGCTGAGGTCATCCCTTCCAAGGGTTGGGTCACCAGTTGACCCTGTCATCTTCATCTGCTCCTCTGAAGTACTGTGATCTTCTGGAAACGGCTCGTGTACACTCCTGCATATAGACCAGCTTTTGTTTTCTTAATTAGATGTGGCTTGACATTGTGTGGAGCACGGGGGATGCATGTTTAAGAGTCTGGTCTAAAGAAAATACTGTTGGTGTCAGGAGAATGCTTTAAAGCCCCAGCTGTGATTGAAACCTGTTGCTTGAGGTGCTGTTTACCCATGTTGAGAAGAGAGAGCTTGGGTAAGAGTTGGCTCACTGTCTGCTGGAGCCAGAGTTTCCTCTGTCTCAGCCCAAGGATTTTCTTGCACCATGTTCCTCCACGCAAATGTGTCCTCATCCCTAGCTGGAGGAAGGTGTGACATCTCCCAGTCCTGTCACACACAGCAGAGGGGTTACTTCTTCAAAGGATTTAGAAACCTGAGTCTAGGAAGTTGCAGACAAAATGAAGAAATCCACCTGCATGCCTAAGATAAAGCTGTTAACGTAAAACAGGCGTTGGGGCTCCCGGTAACACCTGTGGAGGCCAATGCATACTTTGATAGCCATTGCCCTCAATCAGGTACTGCTTTGATCAGGTCTCGTTACACCACGAGGGCTCGAAGCGCAGTTAGTGCTGAGCACAGGTTGCCGGTGGCCTCCTTAGCTCCTGACTCCAAACTTCACTGCCCCACTTCCTCTTCCTCACTGCTGCTCTGCAGCCATGCCATCCTCCCAACCCTCTCACCCTTCCTCACCCTGTGTGCAACTCAGAGAAGGCTTCTTCAACAAGAGACCCTGATGCTTTCACCTCGACTGACTTGGTCATTTGGTCATAGAATCACTTTGGTTGGAAAAGACCTTTAAGATCATAAAGTCCAACCTTTAACCTAACCCTGCCATCCCACCACTAAACCATGTCCCTAAGCACCTCATCTATCCTTCTTTTAAATACCTCCAGGGATGGGGACTCGACCACTGCCCTGGGCAGCCCATTCCAGAGCCTGACAACCCTTTCTGTGAAGAAGTTTTTCCTAATGTCCGACCTAAACCTGCCCTGGCGCAACTTCAAACCATTCCCCCTCGTCTTATCGTCCGTTACCATGGTCCCATGGTCCTGGGATACCACAGGGCAGCAGCGCTGTACCTTGGACCGTTTTTGTGGTAGGAAGATTACAGCCGTGTGTTGGGAGATGGGAGAGGACGGCACAAGGAGTTAAAGCACAGAAATGTGTGTGAGCGTGCAAAACTCTTGATTCTTGTTGCCAGCCTATAGCCCAACCACTGGCAGCAATCTCTGCAGTTGGGGTGCCTGACCTCGGGTGTGATGTGAAGCCTGGTCATTGTGGGAGGACTGGGGTGAGGGTGCAGGGATCGGGGCCGGCGGGGCAGAGCACCCTGTGCCCTCCCTGGCGTTGCTGGATGTGGGCAGCGTGTGGTTGCTGCTGCGGTGCACTTAGATTGACTCACCTGGTTTTTTGTATTTGCCAGGCCTGAGCTCTCATTGTGAGGGTCTCGCATGAGGATGGGAGACCGTGTGAAACAGAAAAAGTACACCTTTATTTGTGGCTGCTGGTCCCAGCCCTGTGCCAAGGGAGCTGCGGCTGATGGGACGCGCAACAGCTTGGGAATTTGCTCCCCTCTCCTGGGTGGGCACCCAGCCATGTCAGATGAGGCTGCTCATTTCACTCGCGGGTTTATATCCAAACACGGCCACCTCTGGGGAACCAAATTACTCCTCTCTAGGGTGTGCTGGGGAAGGTTGGTGTCCGTCCCCATGGGCAGGGGCTGGTGCAGACCTCGATACCCCGTGCAGAGGCACTGCGTTGCCCCGCGCCAGCCTGCACCCGCTGCACTGACCTAGCCAGACCATTAAATACGTGTCGGGAGGAGAAAGCATGCTCCCTGGCTTTATAAATAATTGGTGCGCTGCGAGGAGCGAGTGTTTAGCGTAATTACTGTGGGGGAATAAACAAATTACGACAGTTGGCGAGAAGGGAAGACCTGCCCTTACCCCTTGACAGCCCGATGCCATGGGGCGGGTTTGGGGGAGGATGGGGTGAAGGGACCTCTGTTGGGGGGAGGAGGATGATTTAGTGGCTGACTTGGCGACTTGCAGGGAAAGGGAAGCTCTTTCTGCTGGGGTGCAGCTGTAATAGCAGGCGCTGACATTTGCTAGTCAGAGTTCAAACAAAGATCCCTGTATCGGCCTTACCAGCGAGACAGTGCCAGGGACACGGGTGGATGTGTCCTGCCCCCGGCCCTTGTGCTCCTCTGGTTCGTCTCCGTCTCCCCGCACTTCGGGCAGTGTATCTCCCGAGGAGGAATTTGGAGGCAAAGGACTTGCGTCGAAAATGCTTTGTGTGAGACGTCAGCTCGGGGCTGTAAACAGCGCGTGGCTTTGCTCGGAGAAAGTACAGAGCCGCCGCTGGCGGCATTTTTCCATTAGGGCAAGGGCTGGAAACCTCCTGGCAGGGAGGGCTGGGCTGCCGGGCAGCCATAGCTGCGGGAGGAAAGTCTCTCCGTGGAGCATGCCCACTGCAAAATAAATAATAAATAAATAAAATAAAAAATAGCAAGGCAAAGGAGCAGCGTAGCTGTTTCCCTGAGCTGTTTGCTTTAATTGTGCAATTTCTGTTCCACACGGTGCTCGTTGGGTGGGATTTGCTGACAGAAGATGGGCATTCACCTCCTCTCTTGGTATGAGCATGGAGTGAATATGGGAGGTCTCGGGTACACGCGGTTGCCTGTATATTGAGTTTTTGTGAATAACTGCTGCACCTGAGATTGCAAGTCTGTTAATTGTTAGTGTAATTGGTTTAACTATCAATGTAAACAAACACATATCTTTATTTTGTTTGTGTATTTATTTGATGCCTTTGAAATCAGGGGACTCTGACCTGGTGACTCCTGAACTCCCCTGCCGTGCCCTGTCCTGCCCCATCTCTCCTTCCTCCTGCGCTGAATTCCGTAGACCAGCCCGGTGCAATTCTCTCTTTCCTTCTTGCTTTCAGACCCGGACTGGGCATCCCACAGCCTAGGGATCTTCATCTGCTTGAATTGTTCAGGAATCCATCGCAATATTCCCCAAGTCAGCAAAGTGAAGTCGGTCCGTCTGGATGACTGGGATGATGCTCAAGTGGAGGTACGTGCATCTGAGGCTTGAAGTACCAGTGAGTTTGGGTCGCTGCATTTTACCAGCAAAGCTGTAAAGCAGAGTCCTTCCTAAAGCTGCCACAGCAAAGGTGGTTTCCGAAAGCATGTCTAGGTCCACGATGCTGATGGAAAAGTGGAATAGCCATTTCATGAAGAAGTTAGGAATTCCTGAGTGTGGGAATGAGGTCCACGATGCTGGTGGAAAAGTGGAATAGCCATTTCATGAAGAAGTTGTGAGGGTTTCCCCCACACCTATAAACAAATCAATTAAATAGAGTGTGTAGAAATTACTAATTTTAAATGAATTGCTTTCCACTTCTCACGTTACCTCTCGCCTAGACTAGGCTGTAGGCTAGACCTGTAGTCTGCCACCCCTGCCTAGCTTGGCTGTTTCTGGCTTTGTTGTTCCGCTTCGCGTTGAAGACTCTTAAACTCGCATCTTGAAGAACTGAACCCTCACAGTATAAATTCTCTGTTTATTCAGCACATCTGCGTAGGTTTGCGTGATGTTGCTAAAGGCAAGCCTACCCAGGAAACCTGCTTAGACTACTGGCATCTTTAAAGGTGTGAAGAACGCTATTAGTCATTGATCTTTGTCTTGGATGTTGCAGATTTGAGGTTTTTCTGAAAGCCACAGCTCATGAAGTCATGTGTTTTATGAGGAAAAGAAGCCTTTGTGTTGCATGGATTTTCCATGGATTTTCTGATTTTTTTTTTTTGTTTTTGGTTTTTTTTTTTTGAGAATAGATTGAATATGTAAACGGAGAAACTCAAAAACATTAAAATAATGAAAAAGAAATCTTGGGGGAGAAAAAGCTTAGCTGGTTGTTCTGCTTGTGTGCTTGGCTTTTGATACAAGACAAAACATATTGAGCATGGCTGCCTGGAAAAGGATGGATTTTTTACATTTATAAAGTAATTTTCATTAAATAAAATTTATGAATAGGGAGGTACGTGGTTTTGTTCGCAGAGTTCTCAACTAGCCATTTTTATAAGAGATCAGGAAGAAAGGAGGGCTCTCAGGGCAGATAGAATTTATTTATTTATTTATCTATCAGTTTGGGGTTTTTTTTTTTGTTTTTGGTTTTTTTTTTTTTAATTCTTGAAGCTCCTTTCTGAGGTTGCTGGCATGGCTTTGCAAAAATAGTATTATCCTGTCAGAACAAGTGATGTGATCCAAAGCAAAGGGTGTCTTGAGATTTAAAGTTAGCGTCGGGCTTTGCCCTCTGGTTGCCTAATTTTTGTGCTGGATTCCCTGGGAACCATCTCGTTCCCGTGCCTGTGAGTGGGAAATGCCACCACGTGCTGCCTTCTGCTCCTGTGGGGACCAGTGGGGATCGGGCATGTGGGATGGGGACACGGACCTGTCCCCAGTGTTGTATTAAGCTGGAGGAGCCCTGGCAATGATAACCAATATTGGTTTCTGAGCCCTGGCTTGCCGGCACAGCCTTTACAGCATCCCTTCTGCGCACAGTCCTGGGGAAACCTCGGCAAGTGAATGGAGGCCCATCCCAATAATTTTATTTCTCTCTATAAACAAAAGAGGGCAAGGGAAAATATCATTAACGTTTTTTAATGCTTTCTGTTTTTTCTCTTCTTTTCACAGTTTATGGCCTCAAATGGAAACAATGTAGCAAAAGCAAAATACGAATCTAAAATGCCACCGTTTTATTACAAGCCAACCTTTCTTGACTGTCAGTAAGTAAATACCTTTGCTGGTAAACACCATTTATTTGTTTGTGCAGCTGCAGCCTCTGTAATATTTTAGTTTCAGGATGATACACGTATTTTTTTTTCTAGCCGCAAAGGAGGTTTCATTTATGAAAGGCTCTGAAAATCTTTGTTCTTCTGCACGCATATGGTAGAGTTTATACTACGTGTGGGATCTTATTTAATAAGTACAGTTGAGATGATGCAGGGAAGTCAATAGTTTGTCTGTTCCCCAGACTCTTCCAAGTTTCTAAAGCTACACAAATGCCAATTTCTACCCATTGATTTCCTCTGCCTTTCCTTCTGCATCAAACCAGAACCTGCTTATTTGCTATGTGAGATGCTAGGTTACTTGTAATACAAAAATACTGTGTTTTAGTGCCTAAGTGGTGGATTTTCTTTTTCTGCTTAAGTGACAAATAATGTCCTCTGTGAAGAGGTGAACAAGATACTGTCTCCCATATGGCATAGAGTAAACCTTTCCAGGAAGCTGGGGTAGACTCTGTAGACCAAGAGGGCCGAGCGGCCAGAACGTGCTGTACCATCCAGGGAGCAACAAGACGAACTGAAATTGGTTTTTAGGGTCCAGTCCAGGGGGTTTTGTATCTTCGTAAAACCAGTCTTTGCAGAGGGTCTGGAGGGCGTAATTTCCAGAGCTAGTACTTTAGCATTAGCAAACTGGTGTGCCCTGGTCCCCAAGATCTCTCCCGATATCGCTGCTTTAACAGGGTGTCACCAGATGAAGGGGGAGCTGTGGGTCAGCAGCGTGGCGGTGGTGTGTGTGTGAAAGCAGCGTGTGGGGCTCTCGGCAGCCGGGTGGTGTATCCAAGCGTTTTAAGAGGTGCCCAAAACAGAAGTACTGGAAGGGTTCATGGGGCACCCTGCGTGAGATACTGGCCTGCGAGTGGGAAGGCTCTGCTGTCCCCCAAATGTGAAATAATACTGAAGGTGGGCCAAAGGGTTCATGAATACCTATGCTCATCCTAGAGGTGACTTTATATTTCTAATCTTCTTGTAATAGCTATTAGAAAGAGTTATTGTCTTCCTACGTCATGCAAAAAGCCCGTTATAGGACAGGCAACAGGCCTGTGAAGTGCCCACGATTTGACGATGTTACCCACGATTTGATGATGCTCAAATGCCAAACCTGGGGATGCCCAGGTGTGAGCAGCACTGCCTGGCCTGACAATAAAAAAAATCCCATCCAATTATGCAGTGTTCTCAGATCTTAGTTTTGATCTAAAATGCCTTCTGGCAGCAGCTTCCACCATTCCGACAAGTACAGAAGTGGTTTGAGGACTGGCAAAGCCACTGTGTATTGTGGCGGGGCACGCTGAGTGCGTTGTGATTATCTTGTTAGGATTATTTTTCTCAAGGGAAAAAAGCCCCAGCCTCTTACCTTTCCTATTGCTGGAACACCTCTGCCTTCGTGGGAGGGAGCCCAAGGAGAAGCCGCCGGGAAGGTGCTCCCAGCCAGTGCGATCCCCCAGGGCCAGGGGAGGAGATGGTGTAAATTCAGCTGAACCTGGCAGCACTGCTGTTTGGTTGGGTTTGTTTTTTTTTTTCTTCATTTCAGAAAAACAGCTTTAGCAAAATGACTTTTTGTTTGTTTTCAACCCTGTCTCCCAAGGCAGAGAGAGGGGAAAAAACTGATGTTTGACCATGCTGGGAGTTTAGGACCTTTGAGGTTCTCCTCCCACCTTGAACTGGCCTTCAAGCATCACCCCTGGGTCCTGGCTTTGGGAAGGTGGGGAAGATGCTTCATGTGGGGTTTCCTGGGCAGTCAGAAGTGCTTGCGTGGATGAAGATCTGAAAAGTCAGGGCTGTGATTTAGTAAGGACTCATGGAAAAATGATGCCTCAAACCTGGAGGAGGTGGAGGGCACTTGCCTTGTGACAGTCAAGGATAAAACCTGCCTGTCCACACCCAGACAACGGGATTGCTGCTCACCTAACACAGGCGAGGCTTCTTACTTTCCTGCAGGCTCTGGTGTGACATTGACCCATCCATCTCCATGCCCCAAATCCTGCCTCTTTCTCCCCTGACCAGCAGAGTTTGCAGCCCAAGGACAGATGGGCCTCTTGCTGCAGGATTTGGTGGCCAGTGACGCATGTCTCAACATCCCTGTGGGGTCTGCGGTGCCCCTTGCAGATGGCTCCAGCATCCTTCTCATCCCTGTGCATCAACTGCTTTTTGCATCTTGCTGTGTAAATAGATTGCACTTTCTAAGATGGTGCATCTACAAAGGGAAAATCACTGATAATTTCCCTCTTGCTTCTCCACGGAGTTGGGCTGAAATAAAAAGTCTTTTGTTAAGCACGTTATTCGTGCTTATTTCCTTTGCCTTCTCCTTAGCGTCTCCGTGATACAAGGAAGAAGAGCCCCCCAAGCTCTCCATGCTCCCCCGATGGCAGAAGTTGCTGGCTCTGCCACTGCTGGGCGGTGGATGCCGTCCGTGGTGAACAGGCAGCTCTCGTGAACGGTCGTGGTCCTGAGAGGATCCAGTACCGCGTTTGTAGCACTGAGCTCCAAAATCCCAGCAGTCGGCTGTGCCATTTTGAGACTTGCACGTACTTGTGATGTTAGGGATGGAGAAGCAAGATTTTTCACCTAGCTGTCATTGGTAGGAGAAACACAATTCTGGGGAGATTTTAATTTTGTTTACTCTTAAGTCTCAGTTAAATTCAATTAGATGTTGCACGCCAGCCTTAGCTGCTGTTTTGTCCTTACAGGGCAGGGGCCTATTGGATATTCCAGTTGTTCAGGAGAAAAGTCCTGGTTCTTTTCCATGCCCCGTCCCTGCCTGAGTGGGTGCAGAGCTCGTGCTGGGGGAGCCTGGCTGGAGGTGGGACAGGTCCCTCTGCCGCTTGGGGTGTCCCGAGGTCTGGGTGCAAATCGCACCCAACTCTCCTTGCACGGGTCAGCCTGAGCAAGAGGGAAAGCTCGCCCTGCGGCTCAGGCAGCTTAAAGCCCACAAGCATGTTCATTCCTTCTGTCGGGCTGGCAGAAATGTCTGCGGCTGGTTCTGTGCTCGGGTGGTTTGTCTTCCTTTGATAATGCAGCTAGGGCTTGGCCGCTACGGTATTTTTCTTCCTCCATCCTGTGGTGCAGTTGCACTCCGGGGAACTTTGCCGAGCGGTGGCTGAGCTCCAGCCGCCCTTCCCGGCGCTGGGGGGGAGAGGCACGTTGCTGGGTGAGAAACAGGAGCAGGAGGGTGAAGGGGTTTTTGTTGTTGTTGTTCCTTTTTGTGATTTATTGATTGATTGACTGGGAGGATGAGGCAAGGTTAGTCTTCCTGCAAGCGGCTGGAAGGCCATTTTCTGTCCCTTTTGTGCTCCCAGCTTGTGCCTGGGGCAATTTTCAGCCTGGATGCCCTGATTTCTGGACTGAGCCTGGAACTCTGCTCACATAGGTGTTCTCCGGCACGGCGCTGCTGGGTCTCGGCAATAGCAGCAGGGTGCGTCGGGATAGATGCGACCTCTTGCAGTAACAGATCTGCTCCTGCCACTGCTGCAGTATGAGCAGCTGTGGGTATGTTGCGTATTGGGAATGTTCTGAGGATGGTGTGCCAGGTTGTATTTTTCTTTCTCTAGTTAGAGGCTCTCTGTGCCTTTCAACAGATACATGCTAAACAAGAGCAGGGGAGTGCTGCTTTTTAAAGGGGTATATATTTAGCTTTCTCCCCACCTCGCTGCAGTCCAGTCACTGCAATAGCACGAGTTGTTCTCAGCTCGCAGCCCCGGGTAGCGTCGCGATGGATGACACCTCCATCCCGCGCTGGCACCGTGCCGTTGTGTGCCGACCCACGTTCTGCAGCATCAAAAGATTTTGGTGCTTCTAATTACGATAACCCATGCTGGCTGGCGGCAGCGGCTGGGCAGGCTTTGTGGGAGCTGCCCTCAGACTCGGTGCGGCAGGATGCTGACGTGCGGGCCGTAATGAGGACAGGCTCTTTGTTCGTTTGAAGCTTCTTAATTTTGTAATGCTACTTCTGGAGTCCCTCTACTTCGGTTGCTTGAAGAGTTGCAAAGTTCAGAGCAAGAGGGAAGAAGTGCTGCAGTGCCAGCTTGTCTTTTTTATTTCTTGCCTACGAGGTTGTGTTTGACTCCTTGGGAAATACGTGGTGTTTGCCTGCTGCATCTGGCTTCTGCTTCCTCCAGAAACCCCACTGTGGCTTCCTGGCTCTGTCAGACACTTGGTGAAGGTTAGAGAAGTTGGAGGGGTGCTCTGGAATTGCCCAGGGAAAATTTACCAGCTGTGCATAGGCGAAAAAACCACCTAACTCCCCCCCCCAAAAAATCCCCTTCTCTCCTCTCATCTTCTGTCTGCCAGCGACTTAGCCCATGCATCAGGAGCAGTGAGCAGAGCAGCCAACTTCTGTATCACTGAGTAGTTCCTGAGGCTGAAATGAATCCCAGACTATGGGATGTTCCTGAACCACCGCAGCATTGGCCCAAAGAGCCTTGGGTGGGGAATTTAAACCACAAAAACCCTCTTTGCATGGTCACGAGTGGTCACAGCCCAGCTTTGTACACCATGGCAGCAGACTGTGAAACAGCCTTTTCTGGGGCAGATGCACTGCAAGCACATGGTTGAGTTTTTGAGTCGCCAGTGAGCAACAGGGGCAAGCATCACTTTTAAGTAAAAGCAAAGGAAAAAGGCTTTGTTCAGCCATACGCTTGGCTGAAAACTAATAGAAGATGATGGAGACAAGCTCTTACTGGGCTTTTGCAGTACTGGAAGTACATCCATGTCCCTGCCCAATACTTAACGTCATTTTCTGTTGCCTTCTTGCTTGATTCGGGAACACAGAGCACCGTTCTGCAGAACTGTGTATGAGCTCTGCTCCTCTCTCTGTGCTTGGATAAGTGGGAGCTGCATCTGCTCCTTATGCAGAACACTTAAATATACTGACTGCAAGTACATTTGAGTACCTTGGTAGGAAAAAATGGGGCAGAATGAAATGGCATGAGTTATACTGGGTGGTT